AGTACAGTTATTCAAGAAATGAGTAACATCAAATTCATAAGTGATGCATATCCCAAACCAAATTAATTAAATGCAAACACTTAGTGTGACATTACTCTTGTTCTCTAATGGTGCAATCCAAATGTTGTGGTCGATAGAAGGATGAAACAAAGTGAGTAGAAATGTACATCAGTCCGAAGGGGGTCACATGTATATCATCGTATAAGTACTTATACAACATCCATGTGGGTATGGGACTGAGCAGACCGTGGAGGGCAGACAGTAGCCATCTTGAGGTTTTTGTTGTAACTCAAGATTATGAGGCACAATTCGACAGCATAATTAAAGAAGAGAAAACGGACTAAGAAAAAGAGCAAAGAACCTGGATAAATCCAAGTTTTGGCTGCCATCAAATCAAGTGGAACGAAGCAAACCCTGTCATCCCCCTCATTACCAAACTCCTCTTTTCTGACTCCAACGCCGTTTGGATTGTGGGGTTCGGTTTCGGCATTCTTAGCCTTAGGCAGAAATCCCATAAACATATCAAGAATCGACTGCTTCCCAGACGAAAGGCCACACCACCATTAGGGGTTTTGAGCGTTTTCCTATTTGGGATGGAAGTCGAAGTCGAAGTCGCAACTCCATCAGGAGACGAAGCGAATGTCCCATTGACGGGAAGGGCGACGCCATTGGCCTCACAAGCCAAATCAATCTCTCTCACAGCTGCGTACCAGTCAAATTCCTGAATAATGAAAAAGTAAGATTTAGAGATAGAAATTGAAGTGTTTGGAGAAGAAAGAATCAGGGTTTCAAGAAACAGTTTACATCGTCGTCGTCGATAATCTCAAGAGCGGCGGCGGACGAAGAGGCCATAGCGAACGGGAAATCTTGGGGAAAATATATGTAAATTTGTTTAATCTTGGGGAAATCAAGCCCTTCTCTTACACTCTTTATCCCCACTTCATTCAACCCTAACACCCAAAGATAACATTTTAATCTCGTTTCTTTTTTATTTCGATTAGCATTCTTCTTCTGCCTAGTGTTCTTTGATTTACATTTTTTTATTTTTACTC